TGGAAGAATGGTCCTTCCCATAGATACCCTCCTAAACCTTGTGGACGGCCTTCCCAGAAGAGCTGAAGCTGTTATAGCTGCAAAGGGCGGGGCCAATTCAATATTGAACCCTACGGACTAAGGCTGGGAGGCCATTAAAGTTCATGTACGTGGAAAGGGCGGGCCAACTCAATATTGAACCCTACGGACTAAGACTGGGAGGCCATTAAAGTTCATGTGCGGGGAAAGGCCGGCGCCCAATACTTTTGGCAATCTAGTGTATATTATATGTGGTGTCACAGGTGGACTTGTGATACAACAAGTGCTCTGTATAGTAGGTAAATGACCAGTATGGTGGTATGATGGGCCTAGGACTTTCATGAGGTTTCATGATGGGAAGCTGGAACTATTTTCTGTTGATCACTGTCTATACCAGCAATGGGCAAACTACGGCCCTAGGGCCGTATACGGCCCGGCGGACCTTTTAATCCGGCCCGCGCAGCTAGGCTCCCGCTAGGCTCCTCTCACAGTCCGCCCTGTTTCCTATGAGGATCTGTCCCCCCTCGACGTATCTGCGCATGTGCCGGAGATCGCCGATCGGCTGCTAATGCCTGAAACTGGCACATGCGCAGATACGTCGAGGGGACAGATCCTCATAGGAGACAGATTTTCATGCTACACCGAACGGTGCGGGAACAAGAGGAACAAGAGGAACGCGCGGAGCAAAGGTAAGTGAATTGACACAGGGGGGACTTGGGGACTTAATATGGGGGATGAATTAATATGGGGAATGAATTACTAAAGGGGGGATGAATTACTATATGTGGGATGAATTACTATGGGGGATGAATTACTATGGGGGATGAATTACTATATGGGGGATGAATTACTATGGGGGATGAATTACTATGGGGGATGAATTACTATGGGGGATGAATTACTATATGGGGGATGAATTACTATGGGGGATGAATTACTATATGGGGGATGAATTAATATGTGGGGGATGAATTACTATATGGGGGGAATTACTATAATGAATTACTATGTGGGGATGAATTACTATGGGGGATGAATTACTATATGGGGGATTAATTACTATGTGGGGGATGAATTACTATATGGGGGATGAATTACTATGGGGGGAATTACTATATGGGGGATGAATTATGGGGGATGAATTACTATATGGGAGATGAATTACTATGGGGGATGAATTACTATGGGGGATGAATTACTATATGGGGGATTAATTACTATGCTTACTATGGGGGAATATTACTATACTTACTATGGATGACACATACACATCATTCACCTACTCTTGGTCCGGCCCCCGGGTCCAATATATGAACCCATAGCGGCCCTCAAGTCAAAAAGTTTGCCCACCCCTGGTCTATACGGTGCTACATTGGGTCTATTTTGTGGCATGGTTGGACTTTTTAATAACTTTGCTTGGCTACATATTGTTTCATAGAGCATAGTTAAAAGGGCAAACAACATATAAAATATATCATATACAATATGTAAATCCACAAAATAGCCTATTGGATTTTCTTATTACAAGGGGAATGTCTAATCTCTAAAGCAGGTCAAACTGGCGGCCCTCCAGCTGCTGCAAAACTACAAGTCCGATCATGCCTCTACCTTTGGGGAGTCATGCTTGTAACTGTCAATCTTGCAATGCCTCATGGGACTTGTAGTTTGTCAACAGCTAGAGGGGGCCGCCAGTTTGACACCCGTGAACTACAAGTCCCATCATGCCTTTGCCTTTGGGAGTCATATTTGTAACTGTCGATCTTGCAATGCCTCATGGGACTTGTAGTTTGGCAACAGCTGGAGGGCCACCAGTTTGACTCGTGTGCTCTGAAGGTTAGGATGGAAGTATTGTGGTCCAAGCAGTTGCATTGATGGCCTTTTTTTCGGGTCAGGAATTGGTCATAGTCACCCGGGTGGGGATTTGTTTTCCGTGTCTCTGGAGCAAAACTGAACATTCCTGGCTTAGTCATGTATGTAACTGTGTCATACAATGTCACAATGGAGCCACAGGACTATGACATGAATCATTACTCCAGCGATACCAACCCGTGTCGGCTGTTACTGTAACATCTTAATTTCACAATGGCACAAACCAGTAGCATTACTTTGTTTTTATTTTTGTTTGCCTTTATTCATGGATAAAGCTCTTACATAATCTACAATGCTGTACAGAGAATAATGGACCGTTCATGTCAGCCTCTGCACCATAAGAGCTTACACTCTATTAGGTTATTGATCCGGGATGAATTCATTTGCCTTACCTTATTGGAACATATGTACTTCCTCTGGACCAGGGGTCCCCAAACTTTCTGAACAAAGGGCCAGTTTACTGTTCTTCAGACTTTAGGGGGGCCCGACTGTGGCCAGTGGGAGTAGACTTAGACTTGGTGGTTAGTAGGAGTAAATAAATTACATAGCACCTGTGGTCAGTAGCAGAAGGAATAGAGCCCCATCATTGGTATCAGTGGGAGGAATAGTGCCCCATCATTGGTATCAGTGGGAGGAATAGTGCCCCATCATTGGTATCAGTGGGAGGAATAGTGCCCCATCATTGGTATCAGTGGGAGGAATAGTGCCCCATCATTGGTATCAGTGGGAGGAATAGTGCCCCATCATTGGTGTCAGTGGGAGGAATAGTGCCCCATCATTGGTATCAGTGGGAGGAATAGAGCCCCATCATTGGTGTCAGTGGGAGGAATAGTGCCCCATCATTGGTGTCAGTGGGAGGAATAGTGCCCCATCATTGGTGTCAGTGGGAGGAATAGAGCCCCATCATTGGTGTCAGTGGGAGGAATAGTGCCCCATCATTGGTATCGGTGGGAGGAATAGTGCCCATCATTGGTGTCAGTGGGAGGAATAGTGCCCCATCATTGGTGTCGGTGGGAGGAATAGTGCCTCATCATTGGTATCGATGGGAGGAATAGTGCCTCATCCTAGTGTCAGTAGGAGGAATAGTGCCTCGTCATTGGTGCCAGTGTAAGAATAGTGCCCCATTGGTAGTATCGGTGGGAGGAATAGTGTCCCCATCATTGGTGTCAGTGGGAGGAATAGTGCCCCATCATTGGTATCAGTGGGGGGAATAGTACCCCATCATTGGTATCAGTGGGGGAATAGTGCCCCATCATTGGTGTCAGTGGGAGGAATAATGCCCCATCATTGGTGTCAGTGGGAGGAATAGTGCCCCATCACTGGTGTCAGTGGGAGGAAATAGTGCCCCATCATTGGTGTCAGTGGGAGGAATAGTGCCCCATCATTACTATCAATGAGAGGAAAAGTACCTCATCATTGGTGTCAGTGTGATGAGTAGTGCCCAATTGTCAGTGTCAGTGGGAGGAATAGTGACTCATCATTGGTATCAATTGGAAGAATAGTGCTCTATTTTTGGTGTGAGTGGGAGGAATAGTGCCCCATCATTGGTGTCAGTGGGAGGAATAGTGCCCCATTGTTGGAATCAGTGGGAGGAATAATGCCCCATTGTTGGAATCAGTGGAAGGAATAGTGCCACATAATTGGTGTGAGTGGAAGGAATAGTGCCCCATCATTGGAATCAGTGAGAGGAATATTGCCCTAATGTTGGTGTCAGTGGGAGGAATAGTGCCCCATCATTGGTGTCAGTGGGAGGAATAGTGCCCCAGCATTGGTGTCAGTGGTAGGAATAGTGTCCCATTGTTGGTGTGAGTGGGAGGAATTGTGCCCCGTCGTTGGTCACATATATAATAATAAAACCATATCCCAAATGTTTTTCAACGTACATAAAAGAGAACGCACTAAAAAGATGTTTGCACATTTTCCAGTATTCCATATCCAAAGCATGTTGCAACTTGAGTCGCTGCTTCTTCAGGACTATGCAGAAGTATCTAAAGGGTTAAAATATTGGTGGTACAGTCATAGATTATACGCTATCATAATATTAGACCATACGTCTCCGAAAAAGGCATAAAATGATTATGGGTCGGTCATGCAATACACCCTAAGGCACCATTAGGTCATCGCCGGCAAAGATCCATCCACCTAATCCAAGAGAGAAAAATCACCGCTCTACGTCTGTAGCAGGATCCACCCGAAGCTCCAACTGCAGAGGTGCTCGCCCGGCTCGCCTCTGGAAACAGAAGAAGAGAATGGCTGCAGACGTTCTCTTTTTGTTGGTGCGACCACCTAACCCCAAACCTACATAGATCAACCCTACATGGATCAACCCTACATGGATCAACCCTACATGGATCAACCCTACATGGATCAACCCTACATGGATCAACCCTACATGGATCAACCCTACATGGATCAACCCTACATGGATCAACCCTACATGGATCAACCCTACATGGATCAACCCTACATAGATCAACCCTGGACCACCCAGGAAGGAGGCGGAGGGCGCAACAGGCCAGCAACGAGTACAGCTGGAAATCAAGGAAAATATCATCTCCATATCGCACTTTCAGTGATTGTTGTCTATGGCGGCAGCCATAGTTGTCACCCGGGCAGGACTACAAACACTTCTCCATGTTGTACATGTCCTCGGTGGGGATGGGAGGTTTGTAATTGGCAGAATAACATTCAGTTCAGCTCACAGGAAAGGATATGAACAATGCATTTCTGCCAAGATCAACCGGTATTTTCTGTACTATTTTCTGTATTTGGTAAAAATGTTCTTAGCAGGGTCCGGGGAGACCAGTGAATGCAGGGTCCGGGGAGACCAGATATAGTGAATGCAGGGTCCGGGGAGAGCATATATAGTGAATGCAGGGTCCGGGGAGAGCATATATAGTGAATGCAGGGTCCAAGGAGACCAGATATAGTGAATGCAGGGTCCGGGGAGACCAGGTATAGTGAATGCGGGGTCCGGGGAGACCGGATATAGTGAATGCGGGGTCCGGGGAGACCAGATATAGTGAATGCGGGGTCCGGGGAGACCGGATATAGTGAATGCGGGGTCCTGGGAGAGCATATATAGTGAATGCAGGGTCCGGGGAGACCGGATATAATGAATGCAGGGTCCTGGGAGACCAGATATAGTGAATGCAGGGTCCGGGGAGACCGAATATAGTGAATGCAGGGTCCGGGGAGACCAGATATAGTGAATGCAGGGTCCTGGGAGACTGGATATAGTGAATGCAGGGTCCTGGGAGACTGGATATAGTGAATGCAGGGTCCTGGGAGACTGGATATAGTGAATGCAGGGTCTAGGAGAGCGGATATAGTGAATGCAGGGTCCGAGGATGCAGGGACCAGATATAGTGAATGCAGGGTCCAGGGAGAGCGGAGACCTAGAGAGGATATAGTGAATGCAGGGTCCGGGGAGAGCGGATATAGTGAATGCAGGGTCTAGGGAGACCAGATATAGTGAATGCAGGGTCCGGGGAGAGTGGATATAGTGAATGTGGGGTCCGGAGAGACGAGATATAATGAATGCTCTATCCAGAATGCAAAATAATAAAAAGTTTTGCCTTTACTTCTACTTCAAAATCAGGTAATAATGTGGTTTCAGTTCAGTAGAAGGAATTTTAAGCGATTTGTTTTGTAGCTACAAAACAGTAAATTTTCGCCAGAGAGGATCCTCCACATTCTGTGTATATCAATCGTGTTTGCTTTACAAATGTTGATTTTGCAGAGAGCACTGTGTACACACACTACCAGAGGACATGAAAGGAAATGTCGGAGCACCTAGATTACTGGATAGAAATCCGGCTGTATTGGCCACACAGACCTGAACTGATAATTTTTGGGGGGTCAAGGACAACCTGGGCTCAGAGGAAGTGCATTTAATGATGCTGGCTATCTGAATGAGGACATCTAGAGGCAGAGAAAAATCACTGCAGGGTAGACTCTGGATTGAAAGCTGGTTTTCTTATTTTATTGTTTAATTAGTTTTTTTTATCTTTTTGTCTTGCTAATTTTGGTTGGAGTTCTGCCTAGTAGTCATTCCAGTCCCGTTAACAAGGTTTTTAAAGGAGAGGAAAGTGACCGGAAAACATTTTTGAGACTTCTTGTCCTATCGTCACCAGTTTACCTGATTTCATGTCCTGGACTCACAAGGACAGGAAGTGAAGGGAAATCTACCTAATGGGGCCAACAACTGCAATATATATACAGAGGTGCATCTCAATAAATTAGAATATCATCAAAAAGTTAATTTATTTACAGTAATTCAGTTCAAACAGTGAAACTCCTATGTTCTATAGATTCATTACACACAGAGTGATATATTTCTTTTATTTTTGATGATTATGGCTTAGAGCTAGTGAAAACCCCAAATTCAGTATCTGAGAAAATTTGAATATTACAAAAGACCAATAAAAAAAAGGATTTTTTAATACAGAAATGTTGGCTTACGGAAAATTCTGTCCATGTCCAGTATAGTATGCACTCAATACTTGGTCGGGGCCGTTCTGCATGAATTACTTCATCAATGCGACGTGGCATGGAGGTGATCGGCCTGTGGCACTGCTGAGGGGTTATGGAAGCCCAGGTTGCTTTGATAGAGGCCTTCAGCTCCTCCACATTGTTGGGTCTGGTGTCTCTTATCTTCCTTTTGATAATACCCCACAGATTCTCTATGGGGTTTAGGTCAGGCGAGTTTGCTGGCCAGTCAAGCACCATGATACCATGATCATTAACCATTAGCCGCCCGGCCAATGGCCGTTTGGCGGCTTCAAATGCGCTGCTGTATTCCGGGTGCACGCCATTTGGCGTGCTCCCGCACATGCGCAGTTTGTGGCGCAGCAGAGCGGCGCAGCAGTGCGATCTGTCACCGGCCGTGGCCGATGACAGATCCGAGTACCGGCTCCCGTTGCTGGTACCATGTGACCTGCTGTGACCAATCACAGCAGGTCACATGACAGTTGTATACAATGGATGGCTTCATTCATGATGCCATCCATTGTATACTAGTGTCTAGCTGTGAATGGTCACAGCTAATCACATGCACATGTCATGTAATTAGCTGTGACCAAATCACAGCTAAGCACAAAAAAAAAAAAAGCTGAATGAATCGATGTCATTCAGGTAAATGCTTGCTTATAGCAAAGTAATTCTTTGCTATAAGCAAATTGTGTAAAAAAAAAAAAAAAAAAAAAAAAATACTGATCACTTCCCCAAAGTAGTACAATGTTACTATGGTAACATTGTACTACTTTGGTCATAGTAAAATATGAAAAGTAAATCTTAAAAATTTTTTAAAAAATGTAATAAAAAATTAAATATAATAAAAAAAAAAAAAATTAAAAATATATATATATATTGTGGGAACTCGCTTCAAAGTGGTAGAGCTTTTAAACGCACACAGCTACTCGCTTTCTTTAAGGGCTTTTTTAGCCCACTTTTATTTAAACGAAAGTTCAAAACAGAAGTTTCCCACACAGGGGTAACCACCATCAAACAAAATTCAATGATTCAGCCTCCTGGCTTACACTCAGCTTGATGTCTGTCTCCTGCAGACTTCTTCAAGAATTATGGCCACTAGCACACAGCTAGTCTCTAGCAGCCCCTTGCTGCTTTTGGCTTCCACCTCTCCTAGGTGAAGCCCACCTGACTCCTAGCTGCCGGGGTGGAGCCCTGCCGACTCCTAGCTGCCGGGGTGGAGCCCAGAACCCTGGTCCTGACTCTCTCTAAAGGCCTGCACACACCTGTGCAATCAGTCTCCTGGCCATTCCCAAAACCTGGTCCCAGGATTGGAGATTTCATCCCTCCCAGATCTCTTTGAAATCTCCAGGCTCCAGATCCCAAAACAGACTTTACAAACAAAGGAGGAAAGTGAAAAGCCACTTTCCTCCGTATCAAACACATACCCTGGAGCCCCTCAACCTGCCTTGTTGAGAATCCAGGGTGACAGATCGCCACACTGTCACAATATTTTTTTCATACTGTCACCAGTCAGTGTCCCTGTTCACCGCCATGCCAGTTATATGATGATGCTGTACTGCACTGGTGACCGTATGTAAAAATAAAAAGTGAAAATAATTTTTTTAATTTTCCGAAAAATTATGACAAAAAAATACAACTTCAAAAAACTCGCCATTCCTGTTATGAAGTACGTCGTACTGTCTACTCTGCAAAAAGGGGTCATTTGGGGGATATCTGTACTGTCCTGACATTTGGGGGATATCTGTACTGTTCTGACATTCTTGGACCTCAAGAAATTAGATTGGCCGTCAGTACTTCAGGATTGATCAATAATCAGATCTATACCATAGTTTGTGAACTCTATAACTTTCCTACAAACTAAATAATACATCCTAATTTGGGTTATTTTCACCAAAGACATGTAGCAGAATACATCTCGGCCTAAATTTATGAAGAACAATTATTTATTTGTAAACTTTTATAACAGAAACAAAGAAAAATGTTTTTTTTTTTTTTTTCAAAATTTTTGGTCTTTTTTTTGTTAATTTAGCAAAAAATAAAAACCCCAGCGGTGATTAAATCCCACCAAAAGAAAGCTCTAGTTGTGTGAAGAAAATGATAAAATTTTAGTTTGGGTACAATGTTGTATGACCGCGCAATTGTCATTCAAAGTGTGAGAGTGCTGAAACGTGAAAAATGGCCTGGGCAGGAAGGTGTAAAATTGCCCGGTATTGAAACGGTTAAACCAGGTATTGGTACTTTTGGCCATGTGGACATGTGCCAAGTCATGCTGGAAGATGAAGTCAGCATCTCCATAATGCTGGTCAGCAGAGGGAAGCATGAAGTCCTCCAAAATTTCTGCCCCTGGTCAGTGATGATTTGGGGAGCTGTGTCTTCTACTGGTGTTGGTCCACTGTGTTTTATGAAGTCCAAAGTCAGGTGGCCTGACTTTGGACTTCATAAAACACAGTGGACCAACACCAGTAGAAGACACGGCTCCCCAAATCATCACTGACCAGGGGCGGACTGACAACTCATGGGGCCCCCGGGCAATAGGGGATCATGGGGCCCCTGTGTCCTCACCCACACTTAAATCACACCCAAAAAAGCCTATGATAGGTACTAGGGGCATCTCATGGGGCTCCCTACTGACCCCAGGCCCTCGGGCAGTGCCCGAGTTCCCAAATGGTCAGTCCGCCCCTGGACTTGATAAAACACAGTGGACCAACACCAGTAGAAGACACAGCTCCCCAAATCATCACTGACTGTGGAAACTTCAGACTGGACCTCATGCAGCTTGGATTCTGTGCCTCTCCACTCTTCCTCCAGACTCTGGGACCTTCATTTCCAAATGAAATGCTAAATTTACTTTCATCCGAAAAGAGAACTTTGAACCACTGAGCAACAGTCCAGTCCTTCTTCTCCTTAGTCCAGGTAAGACGCTTCTGACGTTGTCTCTGGTTCAGGAGCGGCTTGACACCAGGAATGCGACAGTTGTAGCCCACGTCCTGAATACGTCGGTGGGTGGTGGCTCTTGAAGCACTGACACCAGCTGTAGTCCACTCCTTGTGAATCTTCCCCAAATTCATGAATGGCCTTTGCTTCACAATCTTTACAAGGCTGCGGTTATCCCTGTTGCTTGTGCACTTCTTCCTTCCATTCAACTTTCCATTAATATGCTTGGATACAATGTGAACAGCCAGCTTCTTTAGCAATGACCTTTTGTAACTTACCCTCCTTGTGGAGGGTGTCAGTGACAACTTTCAAGTCAGCAGTCTTCCCCATGATTGTGTAACCTAATGAACTAGACTGAGCCCGGGTTCACATATATGCGGTGTGGTACATCGCATGTGATTCGCACAGGAACCGCACCGCATTCCTATACAAATCACATGCGATTTGTGTGCGGTCCGATCAGAGTCGTACATTTTGTATGGCTCTCGTCGCACCGCACCCACATCAAAAACGTGCAGGACCCTTTTTTTGGTCCCCACTAGAATTGGATCGCATGTCACCTATGTGATCTGATTCTGTACATCACACCATGTTTTGTGGACCGATTTCGGGGTGTTGTTAACTTAACATATACACCCGCAGCAGTTCGCATGAATAGGGTGTGATTCTGATGTGGTGCAGGATTCATACAGAAAAAGCTGCGAATTCCGCACTGCATCAGTGTGGACCCGGGCTCAGAGACCATTTACACCCTGTTCACACTGGATGCGATTCACATGCCAAGTCGCACCCTATTGTCCAAAATTAAAGCAGTCATATCAGTGCGGTTCCGACTTGGTCAGATCCACACCGATTTCTAAAGTAGTGCATTATAGCCATTCTTACATCTACTCGGGGGCACCTAGAACAGTGACACATGAAGGCTATAACAGGTATTACACCTTAAAAAACAAACAAACAAGGTGCATAATGTCTGAGATAGATAGATACCGTATTTGCCGGCGTATAAGATGACTTTTTGACCCTTGAAAATCTTCTCAAAAGTCGGGGGTCGTCTTATACGCCGGTACACATGTTAGGGGGGCTGCGGCATTAAGTACAGGGGTTTGCAGGGGCTGATGTCTCTTACCTGGATCCAGTCCCACGACGATCCGGTCCAGGAAGCGCGGCGTCTCCTTCAGTTCGGCCACTGGATGTTCGTGCGGCTGCTCGGCTCCGCCTCCTCACCGGTGATTGGCCGCCAGAACTGTAGCTCAGGAAAGGCACACAGGCGGCCAATCACCGGCGAGGGGGCGGAGCCGAGCGGCCCCGCGAAAATTGAGTGCCGGAGCAGCAGGTAAGTGTTCTGTGTAGAGGTGCTGCTGCAACCACATATGCTGGCTGCAGCAGCACCATACGAGAACAGGGTCAGCAAGTCTCAGTGGGAGGAATAGTGCCCCATCATTGGTGTCACTGATACCAACGATGGGGCACTATTCCTCCCACTGACACCAACGATGGGGCACTATTCCTCCCACTGATACCAATGATGGGGCACTATTCCTCCCACTGATACCAATGATGGGGCACTATTCCTCCCACTGATACCAACGATGGGGCACTATTCCTCCCACTGATACCAATGATGGGGCACTATTCCTCCCACTGATACCAACGATGGGGCACTATTCCTCCCCCCCACTGACACCAACGATGGGGCACTATTCCCCCCCCCACTGACACCAACGATGGGGCACTATTCCACCCCTCACTGACACCAATGATGGGACACCATTCCTCCCACTGACACCAATGATGGGGCACCTATTCCCCCCACTGATACCAATGATGGGGCACTATTCCTCCCACTGATACCAATGATGGGGCACCATTCCTGCCACTGATACCAATGATGGGGCGCTATTCCCCCCACTGATACCAACGATGGGGCACTATTCCTCCCACTGACACCAATGATGGGGCACTATTCCTCCCACTGACACCAATGATGGGGCACTATTCCTCCCACTGACACCAATGATGGGGCACTATTCCTCCCACTGGTGTGCATTGGAAGAGGGGTAGTCTTATACGGCGAGTTAGCCCAAACACTACATTTTAGCAGGAAAAGTAGGGGGGTCGTCTTATACGCCGGCAAATACGGTAAATAGATATCTATGTATGTGTGTGTGTGTGTGTATATATATATATATAAATGTATATACTGTGTTTGTGTGTGTATGTGTATATCCATACATACATACATATACATACACAGTGTATATATATATATACACACACACACACACACACACACACACGCGTACCTCAGTTTACGAATTTAATGCGTTCTGTGGGACTATTTGAATTGTGAAAAATTTGTAAACCGAAACGCGGTTTCCCATAGGAATGCATTGAAAACCAATTAATCCGTTCCGGAGGTCAGAAAAAAGTTTATAAAAAGTCTTTTATCTGTTCATAACTCTTTATAAAGTGCACGTTAAAGGCATAAATACTGTATAGGGACATGATTAAAAATGAATTCGTAAATGCATTGAAAACCAATTAATCCGTTCCGGAGGTCAGAAATAAGTAAAAAAAAGTCTTATCTGTTCAAAACTCTTTATAAATTGCACGCTAAAGGCATGGGGCCGGCACTATGAACCTCCTAGGCGCAATGCATCCTGGGGAAACCTAATTCGTATTGCGAAAAAAAAATGAGTAAACCGAGGCATTATTTTCAATGGATTTTATTCGTAAACCGAAAATTACGAGGCGTTCATAAACCGAGATACGCCTGTGATATATATATATATATATATACACACACACACACACACACACACACACACACATATATATATATATATATATATATATATATATTTTTTTTTTTTTTCCCCCTCAAAGACTAGGTGCGGGTACTCGCCCATTCTGAGTCACCCCTTGTCTCCAGCACGATCCCCTGCAGCCAGCAACATTAGGTCCCCCATAGCAAACATAGATCCCACCAGCAACAATAGATCCCCCAGTGGCAGTGTATCCCCCACACAGCAACAATATATACCCTGGCAACAATAGACCCCCTTAGCAACAATAAACCCCAGCGACAATAGATCCCCCTAGCAACAATAGATTCCACCCCAGCAAGAATAGATTCATCCCATCATTAATAGATCCCCCTAACAACAATATATCCCCAAACGTCTGGAGGAAAAGAAATTCAATCTCCAAACACGGAAAGGTTTCTTCACAGTAAGAGCTGTGAAAATGTGGAATAGATTCCCTCAGGAGTTGGTTGTGGCCAGCTCAGTGGATTGCTGTAGGAAAGTCCTGGATTCTTTCTTGGATACACAGAATATAACTGGATATAACATTTATAGGTAAAGTAGATCCAGGGAATATCCGATTGCCTCTCGGGGGATCAGGAAGGAATTTTTTTCCCTGCAGGAGCAAATTGGATCGTGCTTTGCTGGTTTTTTTTTTGCCTTCCTTTGGATCAACTGTGGGTGTAGGATTATAGCTTTTTTTTTTTTTTGTGGTTGAACTGGATGGACCTTTGTCTTTTTTCAGCCAGACTAACTATGTAACATACAGGAAATAACAATAAACCACCAATGTAACATACAGGAAATCTCCCAGCCGGATCAATAGACCCTCTAGCTGCTAGCAACAATAGACCCCACCCTTAATAGTAGGTCCATGCCAGCAGCAATTGACCCACTAGCAAAATACGATCTTCATCAGCAACAATACGACCCCCCCCCCAACTATAATAGATCTTCCCAGCAACAATACCCCCTAGTAACAATGCAGTAGATCTTCCAGCAGCCAGCATCAATAGACCCTCCAGCATCCCTCAATAATAGACTCCTGCCGCAACAGTAGATCACTTAATCAACAATTGACCCCCTAGCAACAAAAGATCCCCCAGTAAAAATAGATCCCCAACCAGCAACAATAGAGCTCTTTAGCGAAAAATGATCCCCCCAGCATCTGGAATCAATAGACCCTCCAGCACACTCCAGTGATGGTGGTGTCGGGAGTGCATTTCCCCATGTTCTTGCTGAAATAAAACCCCCCTGTATATTTGTATACAGTATTTATAAGGGCAGCATTATATTTGGTTGTATACAGTTGATTTTTTTTTTTCATGTGTGAAATGTGAATTTAAATCTGTTCTACATACAATCTTGGTTTTTTGCATTTTGCTTCTGGAATTGAACTTGTTGAGGAACATCAAACCTCGCCGACTTTACCAAGGAGCACTATAACTTGACATTGTGTTTTCGCAGACCAGACATATGATTCTAACATTTCCACCAATAGGACAGCTGGAGCTCAGGGAGTGAGGATTTGTCTTTTGCGGCATATGGCAGGAGCTTCATCGCTCACAAATAGAAGGCCAGGAGGAGCGATGTCACAATGCATCATCTGAGAGTACCAAGAATTCATAGCATGGGCCCATGAGGAAGGATTGACTTCCTGACCTCCAGCAGTCCCAAAAATGAGGCAAAAAATATCTTACCTGTGAAAAAAAAAATGTAAGATATAGTGGTCCTTAAACCGTTGGTATTTTAGGCACAGGATCTATAACCAGTGTTTATTTTTCCCCCATCAGTCTCTTGAAATAGATGGGATAAGAAGAGGGGGGCTGGGTCCAAAGACCGGAATGTAATGGCAGCTGTGCCTAAGCCAGCTCTAGCCAATGGACCAGCGGAGGAAAGTCCCACGGTCAGGAGTGCCTCTATGGAACAACCCAAGGGGAACGAGGATGAGCAGAAGGCCAACGTAAGTACAGCCCTGGGGGGACTGAGCCCCATTCTCTGCGCAGTGCCTGTCCTGACATCTTTCTTCCTCTACGGTTACACCTATAGATATGGCTGTTGCTTCTGCAGGTGGGCAGCTGGTGGAGAGGGGTGGTGAACATAATATTGGACAGCTGGGTGTTTGGGACGCCTGCTTTGTCCTCAGACTCTGCTTTATATCCTCCTTTTACCTGTCATGGTCCTTCTCTCACAGTCCAGGAATCGGTCTCTGTCTCTCAACCCTTTATTATCCTCTTCTGCAATTTTCTGTGCTTCAACTAAAGCAACCATATTAATATGATACATAAAAAGTGGAATATTCTCACCATCAATGAACACCTAAAGTACTAGCGATATGCCAGCCCGGAAATGAGAGTTGTTCTACAGAAGATAGTCTCCAAATTGATTGTATATGCATGACTTTGTTACACCGGAAGGCTCATGGGGTCTTTGCACTCAAGTTTTAGGTTGATCTTGGTGGGCTAAGCCAGCCCTTGGGTGCTCCCGCAGTGGGATCTCCCTGCCATTATTTTTGGACTGTCCAAGTGGTATTTTCTGGTGTTCCAGCCCACCATTTTCTGGTCCTCATCCATCTTTGTGTGTTCCAGCCCACCATTTTCTGGTCTTCATCCATCTTTGTGTGTTCCAGCCCACCTCTGTGTGTCCTCATCCATCTTTGTGTGTTCCAGCCTACCATTTTCTGGTCCTCATCCATCTTTGTGTGTTCCAGCCCACCTCTGTGTGTCCTCATCCATCTTTGTGTGCTCCAGACCACCATTTTCTGGTCTTCATCCATCTTTGTGTGTTCCAGCCCACCTCTGTGTGTCCTCATCCATCTTTGTGTGTTCCAGCCCACCTCTGTGTGTCCTCATCCATCTTTGTGTGTTCCAGCCTACCATTTTCTGGTCCTCATCCATCTTTGTGTGTTCCAGCCCACATCTGTGTGTCCTCCTCATCCATCTTTGTGTGTTCCAGCCCACCTCTGTGTGTCCTCATCCATCTTTGTGTGTTCCAGCCCACCATTTTCTGGTCCTCATCCATCTTTGTGTGTTCCAGCCCACCTTGTCTGTCCTCATCCATCTTTGTGTGTTCCAGCCCACCATTTTCTGGTCCTCCTCCATCTTTGTGTGTTCCAACCCACCATTTTCTGGTCCTAATCCATCTTTGTGTGTTCCAGCCCACCATTTTCTGGTCCTCATCCATCTTTGTGTATTCCAGCCCACCTCTGTGTGTCCTCATCCATCTTTGTGTGTTCCAGCCCACCTCTGTGTGTCCTCATCCATCTTTGTGTGTTCCAGCCCACCTCTGTGTGTCCTCATCTTTGTGTGTTCCAGCCCACCATTTTCTGTTCCTGATCCATCTTTGTGTGTTCCAGCCCACCTCTGTGTGTCCTCATCCATCTTTGTATGTTCCAGCCCACCATTTTCTGGTCCTCATCCATCTTTGTGTGTTCCAGCCCACCATTTTCTGGTCCTCATCCATCTTTGTGTGTTCCAGCCCACCATTTTCTGGTCCTCATCCATCTTTGTGTGTTCCAGTCCACCATTTTCTGGTCCTCATTCATCTTTGTGTATTCCAGCCCACCTCTGTGTGTCCTCTTCCATCTTTGTGTGTTCCAGCCCACCTCTGTGTGTCCTCATCCATCTTTGTGTGTTCCAGCCCACCTCTGTATGTCCTTATCCATCTTTGTGTGTTCCAGCCCACCATTTTCTGGTCCTCATCCATCTTTGTGTGTTCCAGCCCACCTCTGTATGTCCTTATCCATCTTTGTGTGTTCCAGCCCACCATTTTCTGGTCCTCATCCATCTTCTTTGTGTGTTCCAGCCCACCTCTGTGTGTCCTAATACATCTTTGTGTGTTCCAGCCCACCATTTTCTGGTCCTCATCCATCTTTGTGTGTTCCAGCCCACCATTTTCTGGTCCTCAACCATTTTTGTGTGTTCGAGCCTACCTCTGTGTGTCCTCATCCATCTTTGTATGTTCCAGCCCACCATTTTCTGGTCCTCATCCATCTTTGTGTGTTCCAGCCCACCATTTTCTTGTCCTCATCCATCTTTGTGTGTTCCAGCCCACCATTTTCTGGTCTTCATCCATCTTTGTGTGTTCCAGCCCACCTCTGTGTGTCCTCATCCATCTTTGTGTGTTCCAGCCTACCTCTGTGGGCCCTCATCCATCTTTGTGTGTTCCAGCCCACCTCTGTGTGTCCTCATCCATCTTTGTATGTTCCAGCCCACCATTTTCTGGTCCTCATCCATCTTTGTGTGTTCCAGCCCACCATTTTCTGGTCCTCATCCATCTTTGTGTGTTCCAGCCCACCATTTTCTGGTCCTCATCCATCTTTGTGTGTTCCAGTCCACCATTTTCTGGTCCTCATTCATCTTTGTGTATTCCAGCCCACCTCTGTGTGTCCTCTTCCATCTTTGTGTGTTCCAGCCCACCTCTGTGTGTCCTCATCCATCTTTGTGTGTTCCAGCCCACCTCTGTATGTCCTTATCCATCTTTGTGTGTTCCAGCCCACCATTTTCTGGTCCTCATCCAT